CAAAACAGCTTGGAGGCTTGAAGCGGAGGCCTCTGCAGACCTGACTTTGGGCAGAAACTGAGACTTCTCTAACAGGCGTTTGTAGTGGCGTGCACGTTTCACCAGTGTGTATGTTTCCCAAGCTGGAACGCTGCTGTCCTGGGTGGAACGTGAGTGGGCAGTGGGGAGTGCAGCGCTGCTGTGCACAGGGCGGGACAAAGGCATCTAGGAGAGAAAAGTAATAGAAAGTTTAGAACTGGAGGAACTAGTGTTCAAAGAAAAAATCATATTTTTACCTCAGGATGAAGAGAAGAAAGGGAAACCGAAATTAAACCTTTTTTCATCAAAGAGAAAAGTTGTGTATGTGTATATGTGTTTTTTGCCTCATCACTTAAAAGGAGCAAAATAGAGTTGGCTCACGTAGAAAAACTTGGTTTAAACTTCATTTTTCGTTAGAAAACACTAAAGATTCAAATTAGTGGGTAGATACAATTTTGCCTTGATTAAATATTAGAGAAAGCGTAGTATTTCAGAGTTTCAAGAGAGTGGCAGCATGATTTACAAACCAAGCATTTTCATCTTGATGTGGGGGTACATACCTGCAGCCCCAGCACTGAGAGGCTGAGGCAGGAAGATCACGATGATTTTGAAACCAGCGTGGACTATACAGAGCTCAAGCCCAGACTGAACTACATAGCAAGACCTTGTCTTGAAAATAAATAAATAACTTTAGAATGGTGTGTATTTATATGTTATTTTTTAAAGGAGGAGAAATTGAAATTTTTCATTTTTATTAGTGCATGTTTGAAGTGTATGATGATTGCATTCACTGTTGGTACATGCACAGAGCATTTTACAATGAGGAAAATTAGGTGGGCCTGTTGAAAACACAAATACATACATAAAATAAATAAATATATGTTGTATGTTATACTATATATTTTTATTTTGGCTTGCAAACATTTTTCTTTTGCTCTACAAAAATATCTTTGCTATCTCATTATAAAATATTGATCATTCTATATAATGACTTCATTTGTATGTGTGATATCCATTATATTTGTACTTAAATAGCTATTATGTTATACAACTGAAGAAATTTGAAACTATTTTATATTTTATGAGATACTTTAATTAACATTTGAAGTAAACACACTAGGATTATTGCAATTATTTTTCCTTACTTACCAAAATAGTAATACTATTTTAGTAATACTTACTTCCTAAAATGTATCTGGACTGATGTAATGATTTGTGAATGTCACCATTTACATTTTCAAATGGTTAAATTGTGTACAAGCCTTCTTATATGTACCACACTATGAGTTATGATGGTGTCTTTGGAAAACAAAAAAACTGTCTAAAATTACTCTAAAAATGAATTTGGCGTGACTGGCTGCAGAACAACCTAGGGGAAGTTGCTTGGAAATCTGCAGGAGAGGGTCACCATGGAAACCCGCTCTTGTGAGGTCCTTGTAAGGAGCAGTCCTTTGCAGTCACTATGGCGACCCTGGCAGAAAACTGAATATAGCATTCTGCCTGGTTGTTTACCATGGCAACGCAGACAGGGTTACATTGGAAACAACCCTGCGGCCACTTCTGTGGAGACCCGCTAGGCTGCCTTTGGAGGCTGCCTTTAAGTCACTTGTGGGTGAGATGCTGTGTGCAAAACCAGGGAAGCAACTCAAAGTGAAAAGATCAGTGAAACGCACCTCTACCAAGAAGGGCAGAGATGAGCAGCGTCATAATTCTCAGGCGGGAAGACAGCGCACTGTAACACATTCCAGAGGTCATGTTGAATATATCAGACGACTTGTGTGTTTTATTGGTACACGTTCACAGTACAGAACGATCACATTCATCATGGTGACGTGGTACTTGTACACGACGCCTCTTAATTCTTTATCCCCTTTCCTTCCCCTCGCTCTCCCTCTGTGTCTTGTACTTCTTACATGTATGTATGTGTGTGTATATATATGTTTCTATACCTGTTTGTAGTATGTAGTGATCACGTTCAGATGACTTTTGGGTGCTCTTTGTGGCATGCACATACAAAGCTTTCTTCTTTTTACTTTGTAACTATATGCTATACATAAACATTGATAACTTGGGTCCTTCTACTCATCAGACGAATCTATCTATAAAAGTTCCGTATTTTTCTACAATTGAAGATAATATTTGACAGTGAAATCTTTGATGTTTTACCTGAATAGTTGTGTAAAATAGTGCTGCTTAGCTTGTGGTTTGTGGTTCTTATCTCATAGAAGTGCAGTTAATGGTTTCAGAATGACCTGTGCTTGGTAAAGACAGTAGAAGTAAGCTTTCAAGCCAGTTTAAAGTTTTGTTCTTTAGGCTTTGAAATTAGGTGGAACTGGGATCAAATCCTAGCTTAGCTACTTTTCAACTCTGTAACCCAGGACAGATGTCCTGAGCTTCACAGAAAAATTATTATTATCTTTTTTGCTTAAGGATTAAATGTTATAATGCAAGTTGCTTAGATTATAGTAAGCACTCAGTAGTTACTAGCTACTGTTATTTTGCTGACTTATACGAGAGTAATATTTGTGCTGATAGATTAACCAAGAAATTGTCTGTTGAAGAGGAGAGAATATGTTGGGTAGAATTAATAATAATAAAAGTGATAGAAGCTTGAAAAAATGCACTGACCTGAGGGGACGAGACCAGGGTTTGGGAGCAGGGCGGAGGAAAGAGGAAGGCGTGTGGCTTAAACAGGGCTTTTGTGGGGTCCTCGGGAACCTGGCTCGTCCCTCCGCTTTAGAGGTGTCAGCTCCCTCCTTCGGGCAGTGGGGCCCCACGCAGAGCAGCACTGACGAGCTGGCTGTGCAGTTGAAGAGGGGAGGAGGGGGAGGACAGGCTCCATGCCGCCTGTGGAGGGAGAGGCCGTACCATGACTCTGACATACCTTCCCTGTGAGGTAGGCGGGTACTGACGTTCTAAATTGAGATACAGAATAAGGAAGGAAGGAAGAAGATATCTGTGGAGATGTACCACTTCATGTCGTGAGACGGTGACATTTAACATAGAAGCACGCAGGAAAGCCTGTTGAGTAGATTTTACCGAGAAGCTGCTGTGAATCACGGTTCCAAGCCCTGGGCGAACGGCGCTCACGAAAGTGGCCCCTCTGGAGGCCTGCACTCCAGAGGGTAGAAAACTGGGAGGTAGTTGACTACAGTTTGTGATGTGCTGTCCGATAGGGGTAAGTTTGGAGGAAAGAAGATGTTGGATAGTGGTGCAGTGTAAACTAGGGGTCAGAGAGTCTTCCCAGAGAGGTACGGTTAAGTAGGCTGAGTGCCTGGGAGAAAAGGCTTGCAGGCAACAGGAAGGGCTATGGGAGTGTGTGCACAGTCCCAGAATGAGGAGGAGGGCCTGTGGCCAGAACATAGCAAGCGAGTAGGAGACCGTGGAGACGAAGGCAGAGAAGTAGAGAGGGGTCAGAGCATGCAGGGCCGTAGCAGGCTTTGTTCTTAGACAGGAAGGAAGAACAGGATCACTCTTAAGTTATACAAGAGTTCCTGCGGTGGGGCAGGCTCAGGACCGTGCATATATGGTGTGTGCACGGGCCAGGGCAGGCGGGAGCGAGAGTAGCCTTACCAGTTCCGGTGAGGCGTCGTTGCTTGGTCCAGGGTGGAAGTGGTGTGAAGTGGCCAGATTCTGAGTGTGTTTTGTAGGAAGAGCTGTTTCCTCCTGGTGGGCTGTGGTCTGTGAGAGGGTAAGGTGAATCGAGAACGACGCTGAGGTTGTGCACTGAGTGACTGGAAGGCAGTAGTTGAAATTATTTGAGCTGGGGAAGACTTTAGAAAAAGCAGGTCTGATGCAGAACATGAGAAAGATCAGATGTGGACATGTAAAGTTCATGTAAACGTCAAGTGGAGATGTTGAGTAGGGGATTATATACTAAAACTAACGGGTAGGAGAGGGGCCCTGCTGGAGATGGATCTTTTGAAGCTGTTAGAAAAGAGATGGCATTTAAGTCCATGAACTTAGTTGAGATCATGAAAGGA